GTGGGATGGGCGAGGAGCGGCGCCGGCTGTGTTTGCAGAGCCCACACTTTGCCCCTCGCTGAGGGCTGTGGAGAGCTCTGCAAACATGGCTGAGCCGTGTGTGACATCAGCTGGTGGTGGCTGCTGGTCACTGGGGTTCTGCCGTCCCCCCCTGGAGCCAGGGGCTCGCTGCAGTGGTGTCCATGGGGCTGGAACTGTGTGTCCTGGGGTGGGTCTGGCATCATCCTGGCCAGGAGTGACAGTGCTGCCACTGCATGGGGGTTGGAGTTGGGATCCTGGCAAGTACTGAAGGGTTTGTTTGCAGAGGGCTGATAATGGGGGCTGGGGGAGTCACCACCACCGTTGTCACTGTGGACACTCCCGACACCACTTCTACAGAGGGCACGTGCCATGGCACTGCCAGGCGCTGGCACCACGTTGGGCTGTGCTCAGGGTGCCCAAGGGTCACCCAGAACAGGGGACATCCCCCAGGCTGCCGGCCCCACGCGGGGAGGGGGCTCTGTCTGGCAGCCTGGTGTGCATTCCTGGGCCATGAGTTCATGGCTGCGGGTCCGTGAGGGCCACGGGCTGTCAGGGCTGTCACGGTGACGTCAGGCCAGGCCCGCGCCCATCCTGCCTCCGGCCGCGCCGCGGAGGCCTCGACGTCCTCGTCCCCTGGGGACAGTGGCAGGGGACTCTGTGGGTCCCTGGGGGTCTCTGGCCCCGTGTCCCCCCACGAGTGGCAGCTGCCAGGGGATGAAGGGCAGCTTTGTGGTGGCAGTGCCTGGCAGAGCCCGGCTGTCCCTCTGTGCATTGTGTGCCCAGCGCCTGGCACCCAGCATTGGGGCAACAGCAGCAGGGCTGAGGTGGGGTCCCACTGCCCTCCCCAGCCTTGCTCCTGAGGGCTGTGTTTGGGGGGACAGGGCTGTGTCCCCTGAGGGGAGGATGGGTCTTCCACAGGCTTCCCCAGCTGAGTGACCTTGTGCTCTGCTCTGTCCCTCTTACAGGGAAGCCGCCATCCCCGATGGGAGACAGCGTCCCCCCACCCTCCGTGCCACCCCCTGCGCCTGGGGGTGCCCTGCAGGGAGAGCGCAGCTTCCCCCAGCATGGCCGACCTGGCCCTCCGGATGTCATCCCCTCAGAAAAGACCGTCCCTGCAACCATCACTCCCTCTGAGAAGAAGATTGTCCCACCTGTCCCTGCAGCCATCAGCCCCTCTGAGAAAATTGTCCCACCCGTCCCTGTAACCATCACTCCCTCTGAGAAGAAGATTGTCCCACCCGTCCCTGCAGCCATCAGCCCCTCTGAGAAAATTGTCCCA